TATTATTAAGGGTTAAGAGGCTCCTATCGTAGATATTCTCGAACGTAGGGTCCTTCGTCTTAAGATAGAAGCCGATACGGCTACTAGTCTAGCGCTCGCTATAGAGATATAGGTATAAGATCGTCGCTCGACCTGTAACCGTAAGGTCCTCTAAGAAGTTTAAGATAAGCGCGCTAAGGCAGAAGTAGCGCGTTAGAAGGCACTATAGGCTCGCTAGGCATTCTAGAAGGCCGCTAAGAAGTCTACTATACCTTCTAGTACTAACTATAGCGACTCCGATATTAATATACCGGATATGCTACTAGAAGATACTATTTCCTCCGAGGGCTCTTTTAGTAAGCGTAGGTATAGAGGCCTCTCGCCGATACTATTAACTAAGAACATCTATAGATCTTATAAGAGTAACTCTATCGTATATCTTATTACCGAGATCGATATAGTTCCTAAGGGCGATATAGGCAAAGCATCTGTCGCCCTATCTATCTATTAGTAGTACGACGACCTTAGTAAGCTAGGCGAAGAGCCGTTTACTACATATACTAGCTATATTAAGAAGGCCGCTAAGGCGTATAGTCTCTATACTAGTACTAAGACGAGTGTCCTTATTAGCCGCCTATTAAAGATTAGACGTAATGTCGCTAATTAAGATACCTTCGCTACCCTTAGGGCTAATTAGGCCTATACTAACTAGTTTCCTAGACGCCCTATTACCGCCCCGATATCTCTAGGACTCTACGCGTTCAACCCTACTAGTACTATTACTCGCGCCCTTACGCTAATAGATCGCTAGAGCAAGTTCGTTACTAGTATTCTTAGCTAAGGTACCTCCTTCGATCGCTTTCGTTAGACTAGTAATATTATCTTCCCTTAAGTCTTCGGTTAGTTATAAGAGCCTCGTAGAGTATACCTTCCTTTCCTTATCGATCTAATATAGGAGGAGTTTAAAATATACCTTTAGTATATACGTACGATACCTAAGTCTAAGTAAGAAGGCCGTAATGCCCTTTAAACTTATAGTATAAGTAACTAAATCGTCCGCTAGCACCCTACCCTATAGCTCTTAGCTATCGCCCTTCGACCTAATTACGTATACGAGCTTATCTCCGTCCCTAAGCCTACTAAGTTCTTTAAAGTTAGCGGTACTTATAAAAACTATCCTTCTAAGGAGTCTGCTCGTCTCGGATAAGATATAGTTAAGCTCGTAGCTAGCGAGGGTGCTAGTTACCTACGTATTAAGGTCTACCTTATATCTAAGGATAAGACTAGCTACTCTACTATTATCGAAGGTATATACTAGCCCGAGGTCTTTGCGAACTAGGTTAAGAAGCTTAAGGCTCGTAGCCTAGTCCTACTAAGCAAGATCGGCAAGCTTACTAATAAGTACCTTACCGACGACGACCTCGACTACACACCTAATAGCTAGCTTAATAGTAAGGGGCGCAAAGCGGAGTAGATCCTTAACCCTCTAAAGGAGTATAAAGTCTCTATTTAGATACTATACCTGCTATATAGTAATCTAAAGACTAAGAGCAACTATATATTAATTAACCTAGGCTACTCTTACGTTATTAACGGCACTAAGGTTAAGGGCTACGAGAACTTAATAGTCTCTTAGGTTGCTAAAGCGTACCGTAATCTAACCGCTCTCCTAGCCTCTAACTCCTTCGTACTATTCGCTTTCCCTATAGCTATCTTAGTCGAAGGCCTCGGCTATATCTCCGACGCCCTAGTTAGTAGGATTCCTTAGTTAAGTTACGTTATTTAGAACGAAGTTAAATAGATCCTCTAGCTTAATAACGAGGGACTTAAGGAATATCTATACGATTAGGAGAATGCTACGAAGGAAAAGGCTACTAACCTCCTCGTTAATTAAGCTCTCTATAAGGGATAGTACTTCGGTACTAATAGCTTCTACGCCTCCGGAGGAGATTTCGAGAGCCGACTAGTAGATAAGGTTATCGCTAGCGAGGATTACGGTGCACTAAAGCAATAGTAAGTCTATATAGTAATTAGTTATTTAGGAAATTGTTTTTGCATAATTATAGTGTCTAGGATTAATACTACCCCGGGGGTATTATTACGGAGTTCTAAAAACGGCCTTAGCTAAGAGCGCTAAGGATACGTATATGTTTGTTTTAAGCGTGCCTTGTAAAACGTGTCTAGTTAGATACGAAGAAAGGGAGGGATATTAGCTAGTAACCGGCCTTATGCCTATAGGCTAGTTTTAAGCCTATATAAGAGGCCTCCTTCTATAGAGTAGACAGATTATTAACCTCGTATAGTATATTGTTTATGTTATACTTCTATAATGCCTATATTGTAGGGCTCTAGTTACTAGCCTAAGCGGCAGTCTCGTTATCCTATCTTGCTAAACATAGCTGCCTATACTGCTACAGGTTATATTACCCTCGGTTGCCTATACTATTGCTACTAGTAGTAGTAGTAGTATTAGTTTCCGTCCTTTATTAATTAATGCTACCCCGGGGGTATTATTACGGAGTTCTAAAAACGGCCTTAGCTAAGAGCGCTAAGGATGCGTATATGTTTGTTTTAAGCGTGCCTTATAAAACGTGTCTAGTTAGATACGAAGAAAAGGAGGGATATTAGCTAGTAACCGGCCCTATACCTATAGGCTAGTTTTAAGCCTATATAAGAGGCCTCCTTCTATAGAGTAGATAGATTATTAACCTCGTATAGCATATTGTTTATATTATACTTCTATAATGCCTATATTATAGGGCTCTAGTTACTAGCCTAAGCGGCAGTCTCGTTATCCTATCTTGCTAAATATAGCTGCCTATATTGCTATAGGTTATATTACCCTCGGTTGCCTATACTATTACTACTAGTAGTAGTAGTAGTATTAGTTTCCGTCCTTTACTAGCTACTAATAAAATACTAGTTAGAACTTCCGTTAGACTAAAACTAGTAATCGAACTACTAAGTAAACTATTAATCAAACTACTAATTAAACTACTAATTAAACGGTTTAATTACTTAAACTATTAATTAGACTATTAATTAAACTACTAATTACGTTTTAAATTAAACTATTACTAGTAATCGAACTTCTTCTTAAACTACTAATTAAACTATTAATCGAACTATTTATCAAACTATTAATCAAACTATTAATCAAACTATTAATCAAACTATTAATCAAACTATTGATTAAACTATTAATCAAACTATTAATCAAACTATTAATCAAACTATTAATCAAACTATTAATCAAACTATTAATCAAACTATTAATCAAACTATTAATCAAACTATTAATCAAACTATTAATCAAACTATTAATCAAACTATTAATCAAACTATTAACTAAACTATTAATCAAACTATCAATCAAACTATTAATTGAACTATTAATTAAACTATTAATTAAACTATTAGTCGAACCGTTAATCGACCTCTACTAATCGACCTATCTCTATTTAGAAGTTAGTAATTTAGTATTCTATACTTTAAAGTATATAATTTATCGGAGGACTAGTAGTAGAAATAACTAGTATAATAGCTAAATCTATAATACCTAGATAGTATAGCTTAAAGCTATTAATCTCTAAGAATTATACTACTAGACTTACTAGCTAGAGGATAACTACTAGTAATTAGGGGGTTATATATAATATATCTTAGCCTCTACTAAGGTAGTATATCTATTCTTTTAGTATATATTCTATATATAGCCTAAATAATTAAGTTTTATTTATATATTTTAAGCTAAGGTTAATAACTTTTACTACTAGTAAATTTACTACTAAAGTCTAAATCGCTATTTTAGTATATAGCTAAAGTCCTATTCTTTCTTACTATAGCAATTAGCTAAGTAGTACTTAGTATTTGCTATAGATATATTTAATTTTTAACTAAATACTTAAAGCCTACTAACTAAGAGTCTAAGGGAATTAATAGCGCGCGTCTAGACTAGTTACGGTAGCAAACTACTACTTAGATACTAGTACTTATACTAAGCCCTACTAAACTATATACTATAGCTAGAACAAACTACTATATAACTTAAAAAAGCATAACTATAATTAAGAAATGTAAGATTAGTAAATTTTTCTTTATAAACTAGAGCATAGATATATATAGAAACTAAAATTATAATATTCTCTAAAACTAGTATCGTATTCCTAGAACCTTATAAATAGCTATATTATATATTTTATAAAGATACCTAGGCCTATAGCTGTAGAGTCTAAGAGCCTTTAGCTATCGAAGTTTACTAGCCTCGGTAATCGAGATATATATACGATTAGTAATCAAAACAAATACATTGCAAGCTGCTAGTCTTAGAACGCGATAGTGGTCTACAACACTTCCTAGTTGAGACACATGCTACGACGACTTGACAGAAGCACTTTATCCTTGGAGGCTCTTCGATCTACGCGCGAAAATCTAGCCAACTTCTGAGAGACCAGAGTCTCCGACATACGGGAGGCTGATGTTCAGGTGTTTCATTCGTCAAGGGTCATCCACCTCACTCACGCCTGCGAAAGCGTCACTACTACTCTGGAACCTTTCCATGCCGATCGGTCCAATTCCAATACCTAAGCCCAGATACCATGGTATACAAGCCTGACACACTCCACTCGCTTCTTTTGCGATCACTTGTGCGGCAGCTATTGCGGCATCCTTCTCAAGAAATGAAAAGGTACAGTACAAGCAGGAGTATAGTCATGCTCGTCATAGGCAAGCTTCGATTTGCTGCGCTTGTGCTACTGGATGGTGCAGAGCCTGTTGTAGTCGAAGCTGCTCCGGGTGATATGCGGGTCAAGTCCAGGGTAGACGTTGTGTTCTCTATAGACTGTGGAGCTGCGATAGGAATGCCGCCGCTGTATCCGCTGGTGGTATCGCAATCATAGTTGGTGAAGTACGATTCTGAGATGGTGAGATTGAGTGCCACACAGTGTGTATAAAGTGATGAAGTGCTAAGAAAGTCAACATTTGATATTCACCCAAAAACGGCAGCGGAGACAGGCTCTTACCATGCGAATGCCCAGACATCTGACTGGCACTGCTCGCCACAAGTCGACTCATAGCAAGTAGTGGCATATCCGCAAGGATTTACGATGCTAGAATTCGCGGAGTTTGAAGGACAGCATCCGAAGTTACCACTAGGGTCAGCATTACAGAAGTAAGACTCGTCACATTGGAGAGGCTGGCCTGGTGCGGGATTAGTGGTGCGTGCAGTGTCGCTTGTAGTGATCACGTACTGGCATTATAGTTCCTCCATCCACAGAGCGTTGACTGTTCGCTATCGACGATCCCATCACGCTTGAACAGATGCTGTTTTGCAGGTGGAGTAGGAGGTCGTGTTGGCTCTGGCGGCAGAACCAGGTCAACTTCAATGGCGCCTGGCTGGGTGGAAGTAGCAGAGGCACAAGCATATGCAGCACTCGCTAGTATCCATGCTCCGAGCGGCACTCGCACGCGGCACTGCAAGGACATTGCGGGCCAGTGAAAGGAATGGATGTCTAGATGGTCTATACAGTGAGGAGCAAGTTGAGAAAGAGCGCAAGCATCGGATGAAATGCTTGGTTGACGCCCCGAATATTGTTTCCTGGGTCAAGAGGTACTCTCGAGCACAGAGTGGGAGACGGCAGTCGGGCAGAGCTAGAATGGTCTAAATTGGAGCAGCTGAAAAATGCGCGTGCTTCCATGGCAGCACTAATCCCGGTTTCAGGAAGATGCATGATGGAAGCAAGCCTCGCCAGTCGCGACTTGTTGTACTGTACGTAGCTGAGCTGCGGTTGCGCGAAAGGATTCAAGCGAAGGAAGTGCACAAGAAGCTTTGGGGCCACTCGCTTGCATGGCCAATCAGCATCAGAGCTGGGCTGTTGAAGCTCTAGGCAAAGCAGTGCGTGAACAGCAGCATAAACAGCAGCATGTGACATGCAGGACATGAAGAGGCCAGTATTTATCGACGAGAGTATCCATCCGGTGTGCCAGTGACAGTGCCCGTGCATCCGATTCCTGCTCGGGCACATGCTGGCTACAGGACCTCTGTACAGCTGGAGCCATGTCGGTGCCTCGAGCCTTGCCAACAATAGACCTCAGCTGCAAGCCTCTGCGGCCCGTCTCGATGTGCATTAGCATCTGCCTAGGTAGAGTAGATGATGTGTATTCACTGATTTCTCCCAGAACACACCTGGTCTCCCATGGTACTCCTATATCGTATGAGGGAATCACAGATTCAGGGTCATGGCCAGTGCTTGGGGACTCAATCCGAGGACGACACCATGGACCGGCCAGCATGATACAATCTCTCTTTCTCCCCTCCGTCAAGCAGCCGCACCCGATTCCAGCTCCGAAATCACAGCGCAGACATCGTTAATGTCCAAAGGCTCCGAGAAGAATCTTGAGACATTGCATCATGGACTTGACACCCGCGCACCTCGACTCCTGGCTGTATGGTGGCAAGAGGGTATCGCTGCATTCTGTTTGGCCGCTTCTGCAATCGCCTCATTCGCCACTCTCTATCCTTATCAGGGCAAGCCGCTGCCTGAATGGCCTTACTCAATTACCATCGGAGCACTGCTGTCTACCTACTCGGTTATCCTTCGGTTGACAGCGTCGTTCTTGGTAGCAGAAGGCCTGGCCCAATTGAAATGGCAGTGGTTTAACACAAAAGAAAGGCCTCTACACGATCTAGTGCTACACGATGAAGCCACAAGAGGACCGCTAGGTGCAATCAAGTTCTTGGCCAGAATCCCTCTCCCACGGAGTTGGCAATGGCTGGCCTGCGTCCTAATTATTATTGGTCTGCTTATTGGTCCCTTCACACAACAAGTCTTGCAATACACGCAGTGTGCTGTCCCACTTCCGCCCTCCGACATCCACCGAACCCAAGTCCCGCGTGCCTCAATATTCGTTGGCAACGGAACACACGATGGTGCCGCAATCAATACATTGGTCCTTGGTGAGCAAGCATCGGTCAATGCTGGTCTTTATACCACTGGACAAGTTAGTGCAGTCTGTCCCTCAGGAAACTGCACCTTCAGCATCTATAAGTCTGTCGGATATTGCAGCACATGCATTGATGTTTCTGCCGACGCCAAAGTCGTCGTCGTGAACAACACGAACAGTGTGCCTCCTTTCAACAATTCCGTCATCACCACGACCTCCTTATCCAGTGGTCTCTCTGTCGTGTACACTTGATGTAACTGATGTATTGGAAGAAGGACTAATCTATGTAGAAGTCCGAAGATAGAGTGCAGCAGTTGCAGCCTCAGGCATTAGGTACGTGATGGACCCTGACACCTGGGCATATACTCCAAGTTACCCCCTTAGTACGTGCATATCGCTATAGAATGAAACAAACAATACAATAGCTATTCTGTTGGCAAAGCAAACAAGGGGTATTAGGTAAGCAGAAACAGGTAAACAAACTAGACTACTCTTAGGTTAGACAAAGCAAACAAAGGCCCTCCTTAGTATTTAGTAGCTAGCTTCGCAGCGTTCTCAATAGCGGCCTTGCAATCCACTAGGTTCAGTTGTTTAACAAAGCGGCCGTACTTAGTCTTATTAAGCGGCTTAGTAAAGCTATCGGCTATCTAATTATATATACTAACCTATTAGACGATAATAGTACTATTAGCAATCTTCTCTCGAATGTAGTAGACACGAGCATCTATATACTTCGTGCGGCCATTAATAGTAGACTTAGTAATAGCGATAGCGGACTAATTGTCCTCGTAGAGCGTAACTAGAAGAATATAGCCTTTGTAACCAATTTCCTTTAATAAGCGAGCTAAGGCAACTGCTTCCTTAGCCCCTATAGTAAGTTAAATATACTTAGCTTCAGTTAATAACAGTGTAACGAGTGTCTAGCGGCCGGACTTATACAATAGAGGTCCGCCTACAATAGTAAAGTAGAAGCTGCCTATAGAGCGGCGGGTAACTAGATCGTTAGCCTATAAAGCGTTACAATATCTAGCAAAGTTAAGCTTATCGCTCTATATGCCTCGGAAACACAGACTACGGCTCAGAGTGCTAACTAGGTACTTAATAAGCTAGAGGAGTGCGGTATAGTGTTCCTTAGTCGGGTTAGAAATATATCGTAATAATAGGCCTATAGTGTAGCAAGCATTAGGACTAGGATTAGTAATAGTAACTATATCAATACAGACAATATAGTAAATGGTAGATAGTCGTACGCGTAGCAGCCGATTGTATTCCTTGTATAATATAGCTATGCGATAGGCAATGCAGTTGCGGAAGTCGGTCTTGCTTCTAGTAATAACAATTTAACCCTTAGCTTCCATTCGTAATAGCTTACGGTAATAGATATAGCTATATCGTAGATGCTACTCTTCTATCGTACCTATTAGCACCCCTTTCTTCGATAGAAGCGCAATAACCTAGCTATCCGGACTAGAGGTTAGTATATATAGATAGGGGAGACTATTCTTGCGGTATATCTAAGCAACAGTAACCTTAGAGCCGTCAACAACAGTAAACAGTACTCGCTTGTTATTCCGATAGAAACAGCCCTTATCGGCAAGCTTCTTAGTAGACAGAAGGTTAGCTGCTAGACTTAGAACATACAGTGTATTAGACAGCTTTATGCTGCTTACACTACGCTTATTAACAACCTTAGTCTAAGCTATACTAACTATCGTAGCGTGCTTCGTGTTGCTACTAAACCGGATAGGAATGTAACAGCCTTTATATTTAATAAGCAATAAAGGGTCGTTAACTATGTGCATGCTAGTACCTAAGTCGACAACCTAATTAGTAGTACGAGTGCTAGCAGTAAGAGCCGTAGAAACCTGGTCGCTAACAGTAACTATAGTAGCGCTTACAGTAAAGGCGTAATTGTAGTTTAGGTCTAATAACACCCCCGGGGTAGCATTAGCCGTATATAGGCCCTAAGCACTATTCTAACTAGATAGCGGTTGCTGCTATTACTAAGCAGTTAGTCTACGCTGCTACTGTTGCTATACCCCCTTCTTCTTAGCCTTCTGCTATTTACGGCGTAGTCGGTCTTCCTCCTTTAGGTAAGGGTACTTAGTATAGTAGCGGTCAGAAGGGTAAGTACCTTAATAGTATAAGCACTTCTCGCGATTTTAACTATTCTAGTTGTTTCTACTACGACTACGACTATTGCTGTTTCCGCGGCTACTACGACCGCTACGGTTCGAGTCACCTCGACCGTTGTTATTGCTATTACTACCTTATTATTATAGTTAGCGCTAAAGACTAAAGAAGCCGTTATACTAGGCCTAGTTTAATTAAGCTATATTCTTATTAAGCAACGCGCTAATAATGTTGTTAAGGGTACTGTTATTAATAGTATATTCCGAGGCGCGCATTTGCTTATAGCGTATCTATACGAAAGCCTCGTAGAATAGAGAGATCTGTATAATAAACATATAGACAGCCTAGTATTAGCTAATAGCTAATTTAGTATCCTTTAAGGCACTAAGCTTCTTCTTGTACTTATTATAGAACTTCTTAATGTCCTTGCTATTATACCGAAGGGTGATATATTCCTAGTAGAGTATGAATTCAGTAGACCTACCTTTACTAGTGTATTTCTTCTTAAGGAAGTCCTACACTTCCTAGGATATAGACAGACTAAGTAGTAATTGTTAAATATTACTAACACAATTAGCAAAGATCTAGGTACGCGCTATTTGATCTTTAGAGTCCTATTCATCTTAGCGGTCTTTAAACTCTTTAGAAGACTTACTAGAGGCCTTAGAAAGGGGTCGCTAGTAGGTACCTTATATATAGCGCTAGACCGACATACCTTTAAGGGCGCCTTTAGCAGCGTACGACTATAATAGGTAATTCTCCTTATTCTTTAGCTTAGGAATGTTGCTTATATAAGCGCTAGACGTTGTAGGGGGAGCTATTACGGACAGCGACGGCGACTTAAGGGGCAGCCGATAGGCGCGCCTATATTCTAGTATAGCGGATAGCTAATACTATTATTAGGAACCGGTATAGCGGACAGCTAATACTAATAACTCGAGTCGGACTAGTACCTACTAGAACCCTCGAGGGTGGCGGCGACGATAATAGTATCGGCGCAATTTTTAGTAACGAGCGCTAGCTACGTAGCAGTCGGAGTAACTATTAGAATACGTAGTAAACGTATTATGCGCGTTAGAAACGCAGGGGGCTCATAACCACTTAATATAACTAATGTATTGGAAGAAGGACTAATCTATATAGAAGTCCGAAGATAGAGTGCAGCAGTTGCAGCCTCAGGCATCAGGCACGTGATGGACCCTGACACCTGGGCATACACTCCAAGTTGTACAACTCTCCCGATAACGACGAAAACGAAACGTACGACTTCGGCCAATCCGGGTATACAAACCATGGCGCAAATCTCCAGATCTTGTTTGGATTGCCTGGCGCTCCTATGGATCCTGCAACTCGAGGTCTCCCAACTGGCTGTGACGATCTGGCTACGAATCAGACGTGGCGATGTCAGGGATTCGGTGCGGCAAACTGTACCTTAGATCCATGCGTCAGAACATACTTTGGTGAGGTGGTGAACGGGACTTTTAAAGAGACCGTGACCGCGCAGACGTCACCCACGGAACACATATGGAACACCACCGTCGGCCCTGGCCCGTTAGGACGATACTTTACTTCCACCTTGGACACGTCTTGCCTAACAGATCATGAACGCCAATCTTTGAAAGCCGCTGGACTCAAGTTCAACGACACTTCCATCTATACTCCATACACCTACTTCAACGCGAGCTATGCCAGACCGACAAACAACAGTGACCTGCTTGACCTCGAAAAAGGCTACCTGGACCGAGGCTGTGTATACGCCATGGATCTCTTCTTCAGCAATGGTCTAGGCATCTATTTGAGACCGCAAATGAACGGTACTCTCACCGGCACCAGCAGCTCATACGGCAATTCCATCAATTCCTTCCAAGGCTCGCAACTCCTCCAATTGATCTACAACTACGGCAACTTCTCCTTCGAGCGCACAGAGTCGCTCATGAACAACATCAGTCTCTCAATCACAAACTACATGCGCCTCAACCCCATCCCAGATTACTATCGAGATGATGCGTACACTTCCAGTCTTCCTGCGACCGGTGATGCGACAGAAATGAAGACCTGTCTTCGCGTACAGTGGGCATGGCTGGCGCTTCCAACTGCCGTTGCGATTTTGACACTAGTCTTCTTCGTAGCCGTAGTAACAAGCGCAAGTCGAATGCCGAAAACTGTCAGGACTTGGAAACATTCCCCTTTGCCTTTGCTATTCCTTGGTCCTGACTCGGCGCAACAACGACACGAGCATGATTTGAGACATCATAGCAGTCGCTCGTCTCTCGATGGGCATAGCCACGATGTCACTGGCATGAATTCTCGTGCGAGGAGTTTGAAGGTTCGACTTGAGCCTGGCGCGGGAGGTGTCATTGGTTTGCGAGCAAGATACAGACCTGTAGAATCGGATCCTTAGTAGCTTTATGTAGCATGTCTATGTGTATTACCTAGCCTGCCTTACACGTCCTGGTTATGATGCGGCATGCTTTGCGCTGAGAGCAGAGGCGCCTTTCAACAGTAGAGAAGTCCAAATGGCCTGGATGCTTTGATTGTTCCATGCTTCTGAGCAACGATTACCGTACATGCAGCCGAGAGAGCAGGAGAAAAGCGCAAGCGATAACAAGCCCTCGAGCTCATTGGTAGAGGAAGTTGATTTGTTTTGCTTTCTCTAAGAGACCATTTCCCTTTTGAGACTAATGCACTCGCCTCGACCTGGCAGGAATATTTCTCTTTCCTTTCGCGCTTCTCCTGACAGTACTACGCTTCGTGACTGGGCTACAAAAGACGACAATTAGTAAAATCCTTGTGATACTTCTGAACGCTGACAGTGATAACTCACTTGTCGTTGAAAATGCTACCAGGTCCAAAGTCCGGTGTGCCACCAAGAGTGCCGAAAATGTCACCAAGGTAGTTGGAGGCCTTCACGCCCTCCGAAAACGTCGTGTCCCATCCATCCAAAATTCCTTCGGCAACTTTTATTCCCGCAAGATATATGTTTTGGACTGCAGGCTTGAAAGCACCCTGATCGGCCCAGAATAAATTCGTCGTGGCTGCCTCGCCAGGGTATGGACGATCGAAATCGGAGGCGGTTCGCATGACAATGATTCGAGAGTAGTCGACCAGCTTGTCGACAGCTGCGCGGAGCAGCACTTCGAGCGTGGCATTATCTTCTTGGGCTGTGGTACAGTAGATCCCGGAGCCGTTGGTCAGAAGTGTGGTGAAGTTGCCCAATGCGGTGGATAGAAGGCTTCCTGAGTAGTAGACATCAGATGTGGCGACCTGTCGATCAATCCATTAGCTTTCTTGTCCGCAGGTGTATTCTAGCTCTTCCCACATACATCGCATTCAACGACACATGGCGGAGCAGCTCCCGCAGCATACGCAGGGGAAGCAGCATAGTTGGCTCTGTATGCAATTGCGGCATCGCTGTCGTTCAGAGTTGCCTTTCTTGAGAATGCAGCAGCAATTTTCTGCAAGTTCTGGTTGACCTCGAATACCTCCGTACCGTAGATCAACGTAGGGTACTGGTCAGGCTGCGTCGAGCCAAGTGGTATGTATCCAGTGGAGAAGTTGGCTGGAATCTCTCTAGGATCGAACTCGTACTGCAGCGCAACTTGGATAGCATATCTGGCATACGTGACGGAGGAGATTGTTGCGACTTCGGGATTCACGCCAGCGATTCCAGCGATCATGAAGTATGTGCTCGTAAAGTCGAATCGGGGAAAGCGCACCAAAGAGGCCATTGATGTTGCAGCATTAATCTCGCTCTCTCCGATCGTGTATTGGCATACATCGCCGTTCGCTGTGCAGTGAACATCTGGATACAACGGCGATGCTCCAGGAACAGTAATGTTCAGGGCCAGGAGGTTGAATTCAGGAATTCCATACCATACTTCGGCCTCAGGACCACTATTCGACATCAGCGTATGTTTCGGCCGAATCAGAGATGTTGATGGACTCACAACATGGAAACAATGAAGAATTTGGGCTTCACGACACATTCGAGGCTTCTCTCCACGGCCGCCTTAGCAGGGAGCAATGCGGCGGCGACACCTGTGGTTAGCAATGCTGCAGTGTACAGTGAGCACTTCATGATGACTGCTGTGAAGCTCAGAGCTGAGGTTCATGCCGGCAGAGAGTGCCCTCTTCTTAACAGGGCAATTTCTCTCATGCACGACGGGCCCGCAGACCAGGTTCGTCGTCGTCAATGGCATATGAGCCACGAGTTCGACCGGCTGTGCCGCGTGTCTGGGATCAATGGCGCCGGTTCTATGAGGATAGTCCGCATGTGCCCTGCAGGAACGAGATCTAGCTCGCTGATAAGGATGGGGATGAGAAAGCAAAGATGAGAGATAAGTACTCTTCGAGCAGCTTAGTCCAATGCCTCGAGGTCCTGCTGTCGCCGAAGGGGAGTGTACAGCCGATTGCTTCTTCATGCAGTAATCCGGAGATAGCGGGGGAGCGTGGGCGATGTCGTGCTGTTTGCTCTGGCTTGCCTCTAAGTATCGCAGACAAAGCTATATATAACGTGAAGGGATACCATCGGCCAACACGGAACGTCTATTGCCTCGTGGAAAGAAAGAGCTTATAGCGGTGAAATATGTATGCGATACTGGACTGGCCGGTGTCGTCTCATAGTGTGCAAACTACAAGCCGCTCCTTGACGACGAGCATTGGTAAGCTCACAGCTAAATGCAGATGGCTGGTTGCCCCTCAGCTCTTGCCTGCGCGCATGTATCGCAACAACAACGACTGCCATGCCGTTGCTTCGGACAATAATGTAACCTTTTCTGGCAACACATTCCCACACAACACATAGTCGCAAACGCCCGAATCGAACGAAGATGGTCACCACGCGAAACAACACGTCCACAGACGACGCGCCGTCGCAGCCTTCGCCGACCAAACGCGCGACGCGCAATTCAACCACGAATGGCAAGTCCTCGGTCAGGAGCGCGAAATCACCAGCGAGAGAAACAGCTTCGCCTCCAGGTACACCGACGAGAACGCGCGCATCTACATCTGCGACGTTGACCGGCTGGTCGCATACACCAAGCAATCTTACGTTGATATGGCTTGCGATCAGCCTGCCTCTGGTCATCTGGGATACTGGTTATGTTCTTCTGCGACCTCACTCAATGCCAGGCGGCAAATACCACAAACCTCTCTGGATTCCGTATGAACTTTACGGCACTGTGGACTACGTCTACGGGATTGAAGCGCTGGAGAGCAACAATGGTTGGACAGCGACGCAAGGTTGGGTCAATGCATTGGAGACTGCAGCCTATAGCGTGTATTTGTATATTGTGTACAAGTATGGCGAGCAAGAGCCGATCCAAGGACGTGGAGCGCCGGACAGGAGCGTGATGGGACAGCTGCGAGCGTTGAGCGAGAGCAGGACGCTCAGCGGCAAGTATGCGACTGGAGCTGTTCTGCTCGCATACAGCACTGCTTTCCTGACCTTCTGGAAGACCGTACTTTATTGTAAGTTATTACGAGTTGATATCATTCTGCCTATTCACTAAGCACAATGCTCAGGGTTGCTCGAGGCATTCGGAGGCTTCCACAACATTGGTCACAACAGCCTTACGAACTTGATCTTCTTATGGATCATTCCGAACGGAGCATGGCTGATTTTTCCAGCGTACATGATGTATGTGTTCGGAAGTGAGATTCTGCAAGGTTTGGAAGTTGCTGCAAACACCACGAAGAAGACGAGATGATACGTGAGATATCCTTTGCTGTTATTTTCTTTTGACAACCCGAATTCGTACGTGTCGTCGGCATGATGTGTTGAAGGTCTGGGCAGGGTATGCTCGTGTGCATTCGTTTGGTAGCGCTAGATACCCCAGAGTGAATTGAAGCTTGAGCCGCGGAGGTGACAGAGCTTCTCCGTTTCCAAATAAATGTTCACTCAAGTCCATGCACTACAGACAACAGCAATGGATGGCCATGCCCAACGATGACCGCCCAGATGCGCCCAATGAGCGCGCAGGCAATGCCTTTGCGCCGACGCCATCATCAGCGAAGCGCAGCATCTTCGCTCTGCCCACCTCGATAAAACGCGTGTTCGACACCTTTCCGCTGCGAGAATTTCCTGCCAATGCTCTACCGATCAGAGCACCCAGACATAGGGAAGAGCACGTACTGCATGTTTTTGCAACGGATGAAGGAGCGAAGTTGTCGAAACCAAGCTTTAATCCAGGCTGTTTAAAGTGGCAGGTACGATGAAACTATAAGAGAGCGAGAGAGTCGCACAAAATGTCGGGCCCACACTGAAGCCAGTCTCTAGACATATCTACTGTTCAGCGGGGTGCCTTTCAAACTCACATCGTCGAGCAATCATGCTTCTCCGTCTGGCAGCCTTCCCTTCCTCCAGCCTGCAGGTACAGGCACTGAGACCAACGACACCCCACAGCCCATACCTAGCAGTAAGCTGAAGAAGTGGCTCGCTTCACAAGGCTTCGAAAAGATTTCAGAGAGCTCAGACATCAGATACGAGGCGTTCGCCTCGCTGGTTGATACTCGCATACGCAAAGCATGGGTAGGAAATTGCATTCTTACAGAAGCCGTAGACTCTGAGCTGATCCAACGCAGCTCTGTCAATTGTATTTGGCGCCCCACAACGCCGAACTCATGCATCGGCTATATGTCGCTCCTTGCTCGTCTCACACTCTGGTTCAGATGGCGATTGCTTCTCATCTTCGCTCGGCCGCTGAAGCAGAGCTTGTCAAATCTGCTGCGAGTAATATCATCTCAACATTTGACCTGCTCAAAGATGCTGAAGAGGCAATTGAAGCATTGTCAATTCTTCTCAGCGACGATGACTACTTTTTCGGTCAGCAGAAGCCAGGATTGCTCGATGCTAGCATATTTGCGTACACTGAGTTGATTCTGGATGACCGTTTCGGCTGGAAATACAATCCACTCCTGGAACACCTCTCGAAGCATGAGAATCTAACTAAACACCGGAATAGAATTCGGGAGCTGTACTTTTAGCTGTGACAACACAACTCTGGTAGCGCGGCGATCTTGAGCAAGACAGACGATCCATTATATATATTCAACAGACTGCCCGGAAGAAGCTTGCCAGGCTGCAGTGAGAATCTCCATCTCATCCATCATCCCGAACTTCCTCTTATTCCGCCATTCCAAAAGATGCCTGTTGACTCCAACCTCTCGCTGATACACAGAGCCTCTGCGACGGGATTGCGTGGCTTTACTAATCTCAATTTACCTTCGAAGCCTAGAGACCTCTCAGCGGCTTCTAGGACTGACTGCAGTAGCTCTCTGGAGTTTGCCGCAACGACCCCGGAAGCGACTTCCTCGACGTGGATGAGTGAAGATATCAACCTTCTACTCCGCCCATCATGAGAGAGTGATGCATGATCTCAAAGAGATATCAAAAAGCACTGCAATATCATTCTTGAAGGCCCGTCTTGCGGCACATGACACGAAAGTGTATTGCATAGTGCAGCGTTTCAATCGCTCGCAGCGGCGCGTTGCTGCCTGAAAGCTACCAAAGAGCTGCCACATACCCCAGTCGTACCCGCTCTTATCTCACACATGAACAGCCTTCAATGCTTGCTTTACACCGCGGTTACCACATGCGCTGCTTTGATCGCTGCGGAGTCTGTTTCTTCTACCGTAGTGAGCCATAAAAGACCAGGAGCATCCCTTCCTCCGGGCTGTTTTTCAAAATCTGCGAGAATGGGTTCAATGCCTTCTCACTTATCGAAATGGCAACGCCTTCATTGAACAGAAGTTTCGATGCTTCATTGTTTGACTTGCAACGATCCTTCTCTTCTACGGATACCAACACGACTGGATCTTCAGCGAAGGAGAATCGTCCAGACTCTGAGACGCAAGCACCAGATGTGAAGAATGTGACGACTGCAAAGCTTTATGAGCAATGGTCGACCACGTACGATACGGATGGCAATGTGCTGCAAGCTGTTGACGATATCCAAAGTCGAGAGTCGATACCGGCGATCATTCGAAGTGTACAAAGCAGTGCGCAAGAACGCTCCGATCCATTGTGCGTTCTGGACTTCGGCTGTGGCACTGGACGCACGACACAGAAGCTTCTCCATAGTCCGGACTGGCATCAAGCAGTAGAAATCCACGGCTGGGATGGTAGTGCACATATGCTGGATAGTGCCCGGTCGAAATGTGCATCAACACCCAGGCCTGATGCAAGCTCTACCAAACACATTCGATCAATCAACTTCCTCGCAGTGGACTTGTCGAACATCGGCAGTCTTCCCGCAGAACAGCTAGGGAAGGTCGATCTCCTCGTGTCAACGCTGGTCCTCGAGCACATGTCATTGGACGAGTTCTGGGCGCACATAGCTGTCCTCCTCCGACCAGGCGGCATTGGTCTGATGTCGAATATGCATGCCGACATGGGATCTGGAAGTGTTGCGGGATTTGTAGAACAAGAGTCTGGAAAGCGATTGATTGGCAAGAGTTACTTATATAGTGCGGAGCAGACTGCTGATGGGGCGCGCAAGGCTGGACTGGAGATTTGGGATGTGAAAGAGGTGGCTGCCGATGAAGGTATGATTGAACGTGGTGAGATAGGAGAGCGAGGAGGGAAGTGGGTAGGGAGGAAAATGTGGTATGGGATGAAATTTAGAAAGCCTTTGTGAAAGCCCAGCGAAGATAATGATTCATGTCGATATTGGTCGAGTGGTGCTCGACGGGAGGACTGAGGTCGTGATGTCCATTGTGGCGCGTCGACGCGATGTCAGTGCACAGCAGACAGCGGATGGAGGAAAGGGCGTTTTGATTCAGCCTCAATCAAGTTCTTGTTAAGCTCTCGCTTAGCGGGCTCAACCCATGTTGTGGTTCAGTCAGGTGATATGCTGGTCAGCTGATACTATTAGCTAACCTGTGCTAAGAGGAAGGACGTACAATGGGTATATTAACTGCAGTTTCTGTAGCAGGCTCCTAATCCTTCTTTGTATAGTTATATAGTTGTTAATCCGATAATTAGTTGCATCCCTAGCACGATTTACAATAGGTTATAAGCCCGGCGTATACGCTCACCTGTCTAGTTCAACTATAAAAGAACTGTTTCTAGTGTCCACTAAATAGAGCTAGCTATCTAGACCTATTAGGTACCTAGTTAAGAGCTCTAGTTCGGACTAAAACCTAGTAAGTGTCCCTTATAAGCCCTGCCTAGTACTATACTAAAAGGCAGCTAGGAACGATAGACACTAATCAGACAAAGATAGCAAAGGAGAATTAGGTTCTTAGGAAGGGGATCAACTTCTAAGACTAGAAGCTTATATTCTAGGCGGCCCTTCTAGAAAAGGACCTAGTTAGTATAGTATTCTATAGACTTGACTAGGCTAATAAAATAAAACCACCTCTGAAAAGCATGTTTATAGGGGACTTAGCCGATTAGCAGTATAGAGACATGTTCAGGGACTAGAAGAAGAAAGACATCTAAGCCCTAGGTATACTTATTACTAGACTCGACCCTGCCCTTAGACTAGACTTCGGTAACACACCTAAGTTAGCTAAGGATACATACGACCACATTAAGGCTCTATACAAGCCTATTGTAACCGTAGATATATTTAATACTATCAAACTCATTAGGCATATTAGGATGCCCCTTACTAATCCGAACACCTAGCAGTACTACGAATCTTTTTAGCAGTAGTTTAACAGATTCCAAACATCGATAGAACAATTTGCTAGCTTAGTTACAACAACAGAAGCGCCTATAAAGTCATCAGACATTAAGATACCTAATATGCTTGTTAGGATGCTATTTATTTAGGGCCTTTCTAGTTACGAGTAGCTTAGATCCTAGAAGTATAACAACAAGCCTAAAGCTAAGGACTCCTCCCTTAAAGCAATAATAACGTCCCTAAGGAGAGAAAAGCCTCCTAGATAGTCATCTAGCGGCTTAAAGCTTGTTAGAGGGGCTATTAGCAATAATAACGACTAGTACACTTAGTATAAGCACAAACACACCAACGCTAAGTGCTATAAGCAACACCCTAATATAGCACTACCTAGTTAGGGAAAGAAAGATAAGAGCAAAGACAAAGACAAAGGCAAGAAGGGTAAAGGCAAAGGAAAGGGCAAATCTAGTAGTACTATTAATAATGATAAAGATAAATTAGACTCCTCTTCTAACTCGGAAAATAAGGGAGACTATCAGCTAGACGGCCTTAGTAGGAACCTAATTGGGGGAGCTATTATAAAGCCGGGACTAGCTGCAGCAAGCTCTAAGAACCTAATAGCTAATATAAAAGTTTAGGACACAGGTACATTACTGCATATTATAGGGAACAAGAGCTAGTTTAGCGATCTTAAGCACCTAACTAAGCCTATTCAGTTCTCCTAAGCAATAGGAAAATTAAGTGTATTACGATTAGGAACTGTTAACATCTTCCTAACCTATAAAGGAAAGAAAACCCTAATCACTCTAATAGACGTCCTCTACTCCCCGAACTTAGATTGTAACCTAATCTTAGCAGAGCGCCTTTAGAAGAAATGTAGCATTTACTTAGACAGACCTTTAGGCACTTTAATACTTAAAGGCAAGCTAATTGGAAAAGTTAAGGAAGTATAAGGAGTACTTGCCCTTAAAGACGCTAAAGTCAAAATGCTAGGCTTAGCTTTAAAACCAAACTCAGAATCGAGTTAGAAAGGGCAGCTATTAGCCCTAGCTATCGCTAGACTACGAGCGGACATATTGAGATAGCATTAGAGACTTAGCTACGTCGGCAACAAGATCCTAACAGCTACTAAGGAAGCTATTCTAGGCCTAGAAGAAGTTGATATATCTAAACTCGAGCACTATAAGACCTGCAAGCTCTCGAGAGCTTAAAGAGTTGTATTAAGAGAATATAGAACCAGACTAGAAAAAGCCCTTAACGAAGTCTATATTGACCTTGTTAGCGTATAACCATTTAATCTGTTTAGAAACAGGTACATTATAATCCTAACTGATGCTAAGACTAGGCTTAGGTAGGGTCTGTTACTTCGAAACAAAGACAAAGTAACAAGTAGTAACAAGCTGACTAATTGGATAACTAGAATCAAGAGGCAATATAACAAGATCCCTAAGATTATCTTTAGTAATAGCGGGGGAGAGTTTACTAACAACGATCTAGTACATTTCGTAGAGGAAGTTAGCATTAGATAGGATGTATCTGCACTATATATACCGGAGTAGAATAGCATTGCAGAGTCGTTAAACAAGACGATTCTACTTAAGGCAAGAGTAATAATAATTGACTCTAGCCTACCAATATACTGCTAGTGCTTTATAGTGATGCATTCGATTTACCTAACCAATAGACTAGTAAACTTAAGAACTAAGGAAGTTCCACTTAAGGCCTTCGAATTAGACTTAAATATCGGCAGTACAGACATTGACTTGTCTAAGACGAGACGATTTGGCTATAAGGCATTTAAATACCTCGAATCCGGGGTTAAACGACTTAACTCCTAGAAGTTTGTACTAAGAGCTTTCGTTTACTAGTTTATTGGATTCTAAGAAAATTCATCAACAAACTATCTGCTCTAGAACCTATACTAGAAGGATGGCGTATAGCAACATAATATCAGATTCTCTCTATACGTTACCTTTAACGAGGACTTTGTCTATAAAGACAATTTTACTAAGCTTCTAAGTACCCTTTAAGCTTAGGGGGAGTATTTGAGACTAGCTATCCCTTAGGAGACTATTTAGGTACTTAAAACCTAGTCTGACCTCTCATTTGAGTTAGGAATACTAGTACTATTCCCTAGTGATAACTAAACACCTTAGTACTCTTTAGAACCTTAGGGGGAGCTATTTAGAGGTAGCATCCCTTAGCCTTAGCAGGCTCATAATCAGGAAGATTAGGAAGACTCCCTTATAGCTTAGGGGGAGCAAGGTACACTTAAGCAAGGAACACTACCTTAGCCAATACCTACAGCTAATAAGCCAATACTCCAAAATTACCAACTAGAACCACTAGTTGCCTAGTAGGAAGCTGCTCCTAAGAAAGATTAGCACACTTAAGAAACAGATACTGCTAAACTAGAAGACACCCTAATTACTCCCTTCTAAGTCCTTAAGACTACTAGTAAGAGAAAGAGGGCTCCTAACCTACCTTAGCTAAACCCTCCTTAAGCCGAAGTACGACTTAGGTCTAGCAGAGCCGTAGCCAAGTATAACTATAGCAAGATTACTAAGATTGCTGTAGCTACTACTATAAAAGATGCTTAGAAGCCAGCTAACCTAACAACCCTAGCTAAAGCCCTAAAAAGGCCTAACTAGGATAAATGGAGAAAAGCCGTTACAAAAGAGATAAGGTCTCTTGAAAAGTCTAGTACAATCGAGTAGATTCTAGCCGAATCCCTACTAAAAGGCAGAACACCTCTAACAGGAAAATAGGTTTTCAAGATCAAATACCTGCTAGACGGCTCTATTAACAAATACAAGGCGAGATAGACAGCTAGAGGCTTTATATAGAAGCAAGGTCTTAACTATATCAACACCTATACTCCTATACTAAGAGTAGCTACTACTAGACTTATCCTTAGGCTTTTAGTAAACAAAAACTAGAAGCGAAGACAGGTTAATATCGAGACTGCTTTCTTAAATCCCCCTTTAGATAAAGAGATTTTCATTAGACCCTTAGAAGGCGCGCACCTATTCAAGAAGCACCCTCTAAAGTGGATTATCCGTGTTAGAAAAGGATTGTATAGCCTCAAGCAGGCTACTAATCTCTAGCACTATAATGCTTTAGACACTCTTCGTCAACTTAGCCTTAGCAGGACAAAGAGTGACTGTTGCCTATAGCAAGGTAATGGTATTCTTGTCCTCCTTTATATAGATAATTTCTAAATCTTTAGAACCTCTAAGGCAAAGATCGATGCTCTAATTAAAGGTCTTCGTAAGAAGTATACAATTAAGATTGTTACGTCCAACCTGTTTCTAGGCCTTTATCTGAAGGAAGACAAGGAGGGAAACCTTACTATCTCCTAGATACACTATACTAAAGAGAAGCTTCAGAAGCACGGCTTAGACTAGTGTAAGCTAATAAAGCATCTACTTAAGAAGCTTTACGAGCCTCTTACAACCCCCTGTAACCGTTAGGACTACTAGCTGTTTAACACTATAATTGGTGAAATGCAGTTTCTAGCTAACCAAACTAGACTAGATATCAGCTATACCGTTAACCACCTTGCTAGGTTCCTTTAGAATCCCGGACCTAAGCATATTATAGCTGCTAAACATCTCTAGAGGTACATTGCTAGTATAGTTGACAAAGGACTTGTCTTTAGAAAGAAGAAAACTTTGGAATTTCAGGTATACTCTAACGCAGACTTTGCTAGTAACCCTTTATTATTAAGATCAATATTAGGCGCCCTTATGCTTCTTAACAATACTCCAATTATGTAGAGATTATAGCTCTAGAAGGAAGTCGTACTCTCTAGTACTAAAGCAGAGTATATTGCTCTAACAGAAGTATATAGAGAAATCTGCTAGCTCCGAAATTTGATAACTAAGCTTTAACTACTTACTAGGGAAGAAGTTAATAGGATTTATGTCTAGGTAGACAACTAGTCAGCCATTTCCCTTATTAAGGACTATACAAATTCTAAGAGGTCGAGGCACGTTTCCCTTAGGAACTACTACTATAGAGAACAGTATGCCTAGGGAAAGATTAGTGTCGAATTCGTCACTACTAACAAACAGCTAGCGGACTGTCTCACTAAGCCTAAATCTCTAAACAAAATTCTCTAATAACACAGCGTCTCTAGGACAAACTCCTAAGTCACTCCTTTAGAAAGAAAAATCTTATTTGTAGGATTAGAAAACAAGCTTTATACACTTATTGAATTTTATTCTAATTTCTAGAAACAGCCTAGCTGCACTATATAGTCTAAGCTGCAAAATTTCTTTTATAATAACATTGAGACTAAGTAGGAAGAAATACCCTAGCCCTTAAGAGTTAGAAACTCTCTAATACTGTAAGGCTTTTACTAATCTAGACTGCCTAGCCTATTTCAAAATCGAAAACATATATTACAGCTCTCTGTCTACTAGAAAAAAACCGAATCTCCCTAATTAGCTACCTATCTTAGCATTACTATCTTCGTGATTAGAGAAACCCCTCTAAGGACTACTAGAATTACGAGTCGAGCTAGGACTAGTAGACAACCTAGAACCTAGACTACGACTACGTCCCTAAGCAGCAGCCTAGGCATAAGCATTTGCCTACTATAGCAGCAAATTTGCTACTGCCTAGGCGCCCTAAGGAGTACTCTAATCGATGCTAGACGGGACTAGCACGTACAGACGACGCTAATTAGTGCCTGCTCTGCTCCCCGGATTGCGAGGCGGTAGAGGCGCTATAGGCGTCTAACGATTCGTATTAGAGCGTAGCCGAGAGACGTAACCTAACAAAAGAATTAGTGTTTTTTGCTTTAAAAAAAATGCACAAGACTAGATTCAACTTACTAGAGAACTCGTATTAACTATAATAATTTAGGCTAGCATAGTTAGTATAAGCGCCCTTTAGGAAAGCGATATCCTAACCGTTGATTCGATAACTCAGAGTTATATACTCTAAGTACGGACCCTTTAACTGCTTATAAGGACCGCATTAGCTGTTACTAGTATGCACGCGTCTAGTAGCAGCCGCATATATAAGCGCGGTAGGTAAGTAGTTAACATTCGACTTTAAGCCTAAATTGAATGCCTTAGCCGCCTTACGCAGGCGCGGAGGTATACTTAGAAACAGCCGAGTATTATCCTAGTTCGTAATAAAGTGCCTAATATTAACGTTGCGCAGCTAAAGCGGAGTCTGCTCCGGACCAATATTAGTTAAGCACTAGATAATTCTCTAGAGAATCGCGACAGTTAACTAAACTTCCTTAAGAACTGCGCCTAGTTAGCAAATTGTTAGAAAGGGAAAACTCTAATAGCAACACTTACTAGTCTCTATAAGCTAGAGCTTATTATAACGCGAAGGGTACCGATTCTTGTTTAGATCGTTACTACCGCCGCCGCTGCTACTACTACCTATACTACTCGCTATACTCCCTAGGCTAGGGTAAAGAATCATCGCTATAATAAAGTCTCGGCTAGCTATTAGACTTAAAAAGTTTTAGTAAGAATTTGAATTCTAGTAGAGGCTGCTAGTACTCGGGGGATTGCTAAAGAGTAGATTGTAAAAGTTCAAGTTATCTAGTTAAGCTTAGGTGTCTCTTATAGGTACCTACTAACCCTACAATTACGACTAAGGACATTACTCTAAAGCAAACCAATTAGCAAACAATATAATATAAGCACGTATAAGTGGCATAGTATATAAAGCTGCACGTAGAGCAGATATAGTCTAATATCTAAAGGCAGTTAGAAGATGAAGTAAAGCTCTAAGCCTAGATTTGAAGTGTCTAATCTAAACAGCACATTATCTCTACCTAAGGGGGAGTATTATAGTTCAGTTAGGTAATATACTAGTCAGCTGATACTATTAGCTAACCTATGCTAAGAGGAAGGACGCATAATGGGTATATTAACTGCAGTTTCTATAGCAGGCTCCTAATCCTTCTTTATATAGTTACATAGTTGTCAATCCGATAATTAGTTGCATCCCTAGCACGATTCACAACAACCCATGCCGGTGACGTTTCAACTCGTTGGAACCTCGAACCTCAACGCGAGCTCTATGATACCTCATGCTTACGCTGGTTCGTGCCTGGCAGCCTGGGAAATATTCTTACGCCACGCCACGGTTGACCTCCATTGCCGGCCACATGTCTATGATTCTTCAAACTGGCGCCGCCGTCCTGGAGAGATCTGCTCAGGCGGTTTCGAGCTGACGGCACCCGCACCCGCATCGAACGTCGCTTGCAACGGTCTTTCCCAGGCTTCAGAGCAACGGCAAAAGGAGCATTTGGTAGCTTCAAGTATACTTTTCTGCCCAGCTTGAGACAGCAGGCCCAGACATCGATTTACCGTTATCTGGTAGCTCGTGATCTTCGCAAACAGCTTCGAACGGGCAATCGCAACCTGCCAGCCGGTCTGGCGAGACGCCGCACAAGCCCAACTAATCGTCGAGCAAACCATGGGTCTGCTGACGACAGGAGAATGGCCTATACAGGACCGAGACATGATCAGACTTGTGCCGACTATGCTGGTCTGCGATCAGAGGGCAGAGAGCCAGGAGCGAGACGGAAGAAGTTTGCGGGCTACCTGAAAGCCGCGAACGACCTTCGACAGACTTATTTTAGCCAGGATGGCGCTCGAGAGAGCCATCACGCAGAAGATGGATCTGGAGCCTTCCCGGATGCTGCTGTGGTGCGGAGTGGTAATGAAGAGATGATCCTGTTTCCTAGCTATGCGAGACGGCATGTCAAGAGCAAGCGCCCAGCGGCTGCGACTCCAGGCCGAGAAGTGACTGAAGAGGAGTATTGGCGTAGGGAGTGGGACAAACACGAGGACATCAATGCCATTGTCGACGTCGATGTGCGAGGCTGGATATACACTCCTCCCAAAGGCGCACATACGCGCAAGCAGCGTATGCTGATTGGCTTGGCGAGGCAGCTTTCTGGAATTCCTGCGCCGCCTCCAAATCGACCTGGAGAGTCAGATCCTTCGAGTGTAGTACCGAGCCGCTCATCGAGCCCCACGCGACAGCAGGACGAAGACCTCATCAACCTGGAAGCGGAGAACATAGTGCGAAGAGGAGAGCAGGAAGAGCGTTATGCAAACAGGGGTGCCTTTTCAGAACGCCCGGGCCAGAATAATGATACCGATAGTTTATACGGGGACGTGCCAAATCGAGGGCGACTGAAATCTTACGCCAGCAGTATCGCATCCCAAGATTCGGATGCTGGCGCTACGGTCGACCCCGTCCGAAAGAGATCCTCATGGCAACCTCGTGAGAAGATGACTTCCTCCGAGCTCGCCACAGCGAACATGCATCTTTTGGCACGGCTGAAGCCATTCATGGCCAATCCCTTGGCAAACACACCAATCAGCGCCTTCTTCTACAACGAATCCGCTTCGAGACAGCAGACAGTATACACCGATGCTTCAGGCCATTTCACCCTTCGTGCAGCTTTGGACTTCGTGCCTACGCATGTCCGCGTATTGGCTGGAGAGAAGCTCTCAGCTACCGAGGAAGTCATTGTGACCTCGCCTCATGGCGTGAGTCTCATAAGCGACATTGATGATACCATCAAGCACTCGGCAATAAGTGCCGGTGTTCGGGAGATTTTCCGCAATGCTTTCATTCGAGAACTGGGTGACCTCACAATCGAGGGCGTGCGAGAGTGGTATACAACACTGCATGATATGGGCGTCAAGATACACTATGTATCGAACTCCCCCTGGCAGATGTACCCAGCTCTTACCAGCTTTTTCAAGCTGGCAAATTTACCGAAAGGATCTTTCCACCTCAAGCAGTATTCTGGTGGCATGTTGCAGGGTATCTTCGAACCTGTTGCTGAACGCAAGAGGTCATCACTAGACAAGATCATGCGTGACTTCCCTGACCGCAAGTTCGTCCTTGTCGGCGACAGTGGAGAAGCTGATCTTGAGGTGTATACCGAGACAGCATTGGCGAATCCAGGGCGTGTTCTCGGTATCTTCATTCGGGATGTAACTACATCGCCCAAAACTGGCTACTTCGACTCGAACACCAGCCCTGGAGGAAGTGGGCAGCATTCGAGAAATCATTCTCGTCATCAGAGTGGCGACAGCCTTGGGATGTCTAAGCGATTGTCTAGGCCGGCTGATCTGGACGATGACGCAGAAATGAGAGCTGCGATCGCAGCTTCGCTTGAAGATATGGAGAAAGAGGCGCAACGTGCAAGAAAGTCTATCAACCCCGACGCATACCAATTGGAGACCACACTATACGGCGAAAGGACCTCAAGCTTGCCCAACAAGCCACGCTCTCCGCAGCGACTAGACCCACATTCTCATTCGCAACAGTCGTTCAGCGGACGTGACATCACAGCATCTCCAGAAGAAGACTTGATCGACTTCTCTGACCCAGCACCCTCAAAGCCCTGGCTTGAACCGTCGCGGCGTCGGCATTCTCCGTCCAATAAGAGCTTGAACGGTGCAACTCTAGGTCAAAGGCCGTCGCCATCACCTCCGCCTCCTCCTAAGCCTGCTGGACTCAGGAGTCCTCCTCCAGATGCTCAAGCATCATCCGAAAGTCAGCACAAGACACCGCCACCACGACCTCGAAAACCATCAAGCGCTGTCAAGCCCAACAACTTGCCCCAGATCCAGACTCATCCGCCATCGCCTCTGTCGCAGGTTATCAGGCAGGACTCCACAAAGAAGCCTCCGCCGCCATTACCTGCGAGGAGAAACATGAAAGGTGCCATAGCCAAAGCATTGCCGGTGCCGAATTCCAGCTACTGGCAGACGGATACTACTGTCGGGCAGCCAAGACCTCGATCTTCCCATGTCGGCAGGAATGGCGGCAGTCAACCTTCTTCACCGCTGGCGGTGGGACGCTCGATGACTTCACCAAAGTCATTTGAAGATCTCAACCTCCCCACTGGTGCCATGAATCAAGTAGTTCCTCCCCCACCGCCAAGACAAAGCATCGCATCCTATTCTACTGCTGCAGTACGCAAGCAGGCCAACCGCCTGTCTGGCGGCTTCGACGACGAGGGAGCGCCGGGCACACCTGGAGATGGCATTAGCAAGAAAGAGTATATGTGGCAACAACGATGGGCCAAAGCGAAAAGCGTGCTAGAGCGTAATGGCGTCACTCTACGGAGCTGGCGAACTGGCAGTGACGTTGCTGATGTCTGCGTCCGTCTGGTCGAGATGGAATTGAGAAAGATCGAAAGAGAATCGAGGAGCCAGCGTGACGATGGCCGATGAACGGGGAACGACATCAAAATAGTGCAGCACCAGGGCCTTGCCACGACGGCCCAATTAAGGAATGGCCAGCTTGTATAGTCTGAACCTGCAAAGGCAAGATTGAAAGATGCTCATCTGGGCTTAGAAGTGTGGAAGTAGTCGGGTATTATTGCACAATGACCGATTAGCTCCTACCATGTGAAACAGGATCTCTACTTGATCAGGGAGTCTACAGCAAGCTGGGACGATTCTTAGGCTGAATGATAATATGTCGGCAAAATTACTGTATCGAGTCTGCCAAGACTTTATGGCTGTGCACACAGGATCTACTTCATACGCACCAGGTCTGGGCTATGAGTCCGGATGGACTCACACGTTACTCCACAGCCAAGGAGTGTAGACCGAAGGAAGGCTTGAGTCCCTTCGAGATCGGTGCGAAGACACGAGTCGTTGACGTTCAAAGGTGTGGGGGCGAAGCCATGTCCTGAAGATTCGACCAAGCCAGGGAAGTAGGGAATTCGATTCAGCAACGCTGCGAAACCTGGGAATCTGAACGCTTGTGTGAGTGTGGAGTTGAAGGCATACAAGGCTGAGGCGAGAGACGCTTGTACGTATTCGCATTTGCCGAGCTGTGAGGAGGCTGCGGAGACGATCATACACTGCATACAGACATCGAAATTAATCTGCATGGCCAGGCTTTTCATGATTGGTGGATCTCCTGGATCGGTAAGGTATGCGCCGAGAATCGAGACAAAAATGCGGGGCGTGGATTTATGTGCTACTTCTTTCACACCAGGCCTTGCCTCATGTTTAGCGAAAAACATCTTGAAGCAGCTATAAAAGTAGCAAGCACCCAGCAGAGACATGATGGACAATTCAAAAGATCTACCTTGACCAGGTCGTAGCCACGTTGTTCACAATGACAAAAGCATCGTTCCTCATCAGCCTCCTTCACGCCATCCATGCATCACCTCTTCGCATCCGTCAGGAGAAGCCTCCATTCTTCCTCCTCGCAGGCGACTCGACAACAGCAGTTGGAGGTGGCTGGGGTGACGGTTTCCTCAACACAACCCTAAAGGCTCCAGCATCAGGACTCAACTACGGCCATAGCGGAGCCACGACCGTCTCGTTCCGAGCTGGAGGTGATTGGGCTAAAGTCCTCGGACAGATAGAAAGTCATAGAGAAGAATTCGAGGTCTTTGTTACGATCCAAGTAAGCCAAAAGCCCAATCTCGAGCATCGATACTGATTTTAATGAACAAGTTTGGCCACAACGACCAAAAGCCGGCGGCAAACATCTCTTTAGATGAATACGGGACAAATCTTGCGGCTTTCGCGGATGAAGTCACGGATTCTGGAGGTGAACCTATCTTGCTTACTCCTTTGACGAGACGAGGGTTTGATGATTCAGATCCACCTAAAGTTGTGGAGAATCTTGTGAATGAACGACGGAAGACGATCGAGATTGCTGAGACAAATGGTGTCAAATGGATCGATTTGAATCTGAGAAGTCAGGAGTATTGTAACGCCATTGGACCGGATGCGAGTTGGAAGCATGATCTGAGTGAGGGTGATCATACGCATTTGAATGATGTGAGTGATATTGCTTTCCTGGGGTGCGAGGTGGTGTTGGCTGACTTGATGCACGAAGCATGGGAGTGTCGTGTTCGGGAGATTGGTGAGTGATTTGCTGGTGGGCAAGTATGGGGAACTCTTTAAGGAGTGGACAGTGCCCAATGTGACGTTGAGTGAGGCGTTGGAGGAGGGTGTGCCTGCTTGATGTTCAGGAGGTCGAAATCGAAACTTTGAAAGCATACACGGACGCGTACAGAGCGTCTCGTGCATACAGGAAGTCGAGACAAGACTGGATACAGTAGAACTAGTGATCCGTGCCCGTTGCCCCAAAGATTCTTTCGCAAGCTACAGTATGATACATACATACATAATCCCAGACCTACAAGGCCTTGAAGAAAGCATCTCTACTTCGTGTCACATGTATTGAAGTTCTATAGCCTTGTGTGCCAAGTTCTAGCATTAGATGTATCCTCTTCTTAGGAGCATGCATAGAAGAAGCCTTCCTTTAATTCAGCCAACCAGTACATATTCAAGATTTCGATCGAACGTTCAAACGGGAGGAGAGGCACGGTTCGCAATTTTGTTTCCAACAGGCTTCCTGTATGCAGTTGACACCTTGTATGCGCATTGAAGACGCTCTGTAGATCTGCCTTCAATGAGTAGGCGGGAAGGAATCTCCGCATTTGGTCTGGCTGTGGCTTGAGGGCTTGTGAGATGAATAATGCATAAGCAGCAAGCAACCTGCCGATAGATCTACACACGAATCTAACTTACGCACTAACTTAGTGGATGTGGACTGCCAAACTGCCCAGTAATTAGTCAAGGTGAGCATACCTGAGAAATTGAATCGCCAGGTGCTGGCGTTGCTGTGATGGAACGAGCAGTACTGATCCGTGTCGACAAGGAAAGAGCGATGGTGCTTGACTCCTCCCATCCGCCTCAAGCCACAAGCTTCCGACCCTCGAGTCCTACGGTGGATTACACAATTGATCGACCAATTTTTGTCGTCCAGATGCTGCAGCTGAGTCCGGGAAGGAAAATACCAGCTCACAACGTGAGATTCTGCGAGCTGAATGTGCGAGTTAAGAAAAGAGTCAGTTGGCAGATCACATCAGCTGTAGCGCATGCATCCAGGAGTCCATGATGGAGAGATCGATCAGGTTCAGTTTGTGGGGTTTGAGCAGTATACAAGTACTTCCACGTCTCCTCGTTCTAGTAGTTCCATCACGCATAGTCGAGGACATTTTCGTTCATTCGCTCGTTCAGTCAAACACAAGCCGGCGCTTCCTCGCTCACCATCAACATCAACATCAACATCAACATGCCTGTATCCATCTACCTCGCCGCCGTATTCTCGGCCCTTGCTCTTGCAGCACCACTTCCACTTCTCGACCTACCGTTCGATTCGCCCAGCGTTCCCAGCATTCCTGAAGGCGGCAAGCCCATGGAACCAAAGGAGCCCAAAGGCAACAGTCAACCTGCGGTAGAGGGCGGCCAGGTCGCAAATGGCAAATCCGCTGGTTCGTAAAGAATTCCCTATCTCAGATCGGAAATGTTTCGCTGATAACTTTATAGCTTCGCAGTCCGCAGCTGCATCCGACGATACTTCGAGCACCAGCTCTCTTCGTGCAGTATGTATAGGGCGAGGTTATCGGCTCAAGATCACATGCTGACTTGTCATCGTAATCAGGCTGCATCTCATGTGCCAGCTCTTCTGGAACTTCCGGTCCAGATGGCAGCAGCAGCTCAGCCGCTTCGAGCGGTGGCGTCTCCCTCAGCCCTACCATCAACATGGGATAAGAGATCGATCTGCATTCTTCTGAATTGATGTTGCCTGTGACGTCAAAAAGAAGAAGTGGCGTAGCAAATGGTAATATCCTTCGGCTAGGCTGAGACTCTGGACACGAGAAATGTATTTTTAAATATCTCCATTCGTGCCACTTCCTCACATTTCGATCAAGTTTCGCAGACTCCGATCCTGAACTGGGTAGGTAGATTGGCCATGTTGACAGACGAGTTTCTCTCTCTCGTAGCAGAATCCGACTTGCTATCTTCGACGACCTCGAGGGAGTGCGGTGAGGATACAACAGCTTATAGCGCACATGGTCCTTTTGGCTTGGACCATAATTGACGTCAGCTGAAGCGTGCTCGATCACCATCGTGGACATCCCGAAATGGGAGACTGAACAACAGAAGCTTGCTGAAATTTGCGAAACTATAGCTGGGTATCGTATCGTATTTACACAGGTGTGGTAGCCGGTATTCTTGCCGCCGTGCTCATAATATTCGGCTCCGGCAGCTTTTTCCGCGGTCTCCTCAACTCCTCTTCTGTAACACCATTTCCCAACTTTGTAATGCCCATGACGGGCGGATCTCCTTTCTTCACGAATTCATATTGTCCTGGCAATTTGTTTCCTGCCAATCGGAAGGCGTCCCTCACAACCTGCTCGTGCACTTCTCCCTTCAACTCGAACAAGATTCTGCTGACAGGCACTCTTGCAGCCCAGTAGTCGAATGAGCCCTTTCCCTTTCCCATACGTTGATCATTACCGCTGGTATAAACACCTATGTTTGCCGCGACACGATGATATAATCTGTATTTCATTCCTCGCAGTCGTTTCTTGATGGTTTCGTCTGCGATCTTGAGATGTGCTGCTGATATCCGGCGGTCTGTGTCCTTCAGTCTGATTCCGTATTCTCCCCATACAAGGGTGGTGCCTTTAATGCTGCCTCCTGTTGGACATTTGGGGCGACCTTTTCGTGATTTCGAAGATTCTCCTGCTTTCGGTGCGAGCCAGTTGAAGGTCGGTCGCGTAGAGCTGAATGAGCGTGTTTGAGATGCAGCTTCCGAACACAATGCTTTCAGGGCGCTTTGTAGGCCTGAATGCGTTAGCAATGGTTGTGGGTAGTATGTGCACACTGCTTACAGCAAGCCCTAGTCGTGCATGAGTTGAGCAGTGAGCCGGTTGAGCCGGTCTTCGCCAACGTCGGCGCCATTGTTGAGATCAGAAGCAGATGCGAATGGCCGAGGTGCTCTAGTCTCAGTCGTCATGTGCTGATGTGAGGTGAGGTGAAGCTGCGGAGGACGGAAGTGACGCTTGGCATGTCAACGTCCAAAGCATCCAAGCAAGATTTGACCAGGCTGAATCAATATTCGTGATCACGGTTCTAATCAATGCGTGCAGCCGATATTTGACGGCAACTTAGGCGGTCGCGAGAGAGCGCGTCATCTTCGCGTGTTCGAACTAGGACAGCAACTCCAGCTGCGACCATACTGCATTTCTCGCATTTGCAATTGCAGCCAGACTACCCATGAACTGACCGGCCAAAATCGCGTGTGATTTTCACAATGCCATCAGACATCCGCTCATTCTTCGGCGGCAAGCCAGCAGCTGCACCGGCCGAAAAGCCCAAGCCCAAGGAGGAGCCCAAGAAGCGAGGTCGACCGCGGAAAGTGATTGAGGATGACGACGATGAAGACGAAGCTGCACCGAAGAAGGCAACGCCCAAAAAAGCTCCAGCGAAGAAGAAGCCTGAGCCTGAGGTCGAGTTGGAGGAGACAACCGCGGGCGATTTCTTTGGCAAGAGCAAGCCGAAGAGGAGCGAAGCTGTTAGCAATAAGAGATCCGTCAAGCAAGCAGCGACAGCAGAGAGCACACCATTCAAGAAGCAGACAGGCAAGACCAATGGCAGTGCCAAAGCTACTCCGAATGGCAGGAGCTCTGCTCGAGCTAAGAAGACAGTAAGCTACGTCGATCTCGATGCTGACGACTTCCCCGATGACGACTTTGAGGATGGCGCTGAAGATGAGTTCAAGGCTGGCGCGAAAGTGGGACGACGCATGGGCGACGACTATGAGGAAGGCAGTGACGACGAAGACGACAACCCGCTGGTGCCGAAGAAGCGGGAGAGTGGGAAGCAGCAAAAGCTCAAAGACGAAGGACAGGATGACAACGATCCTGATAAGGATGTTGATATGAGAGACTATAACCCTGATGATGACTTTGTTGTGCCGGACGACGATGAGGAGATGGTTGAGGACAAGCCGGCTAAGAAGACTCCTGCCAGAGCAAGCAAGAAGCGGAAGTCACATGTTATTGAGGAGAACGAGAATAGCGACCTCGAAGTGGAGGAGGCTAAACCCAAGAAGCGTGCCACTCCGGCGAAGAAGACCACTCCTGCCGCGAAGAAGGCCAAGAAAGACGCGCCCCAGGATAGTGCAGAAGTGAAGGCCATTCTTGACAGCATTCCTACAGTTCAAGCACCAGAACCTCCCAAGAAGTCTTCTGCAGGTGGAGAGGAAGGCGCGAAGCCCAGGTTCCAATACGGCCAGCAACACGCCAACTCTGCCATGCCCGCAGGAGCAATAGACGATTCCGAGCTTCCCACCGGCAATGAAAATTGTCTTGCAGGGCTTACGTTTGTATTCACTGGCCAGCTGCAATCTCTTGGCAGAGAACAAGGCGCTGCGCTTGTCAAGCGGTGGGGAGGCAAGGTTACCACAGCACCATCAAGCAAGACCAGCTATGTGGTATTGGGTGACGATGCAGGCCCAAAGAAACTTGAGACGATCAAGAAGTTCGGTTTAAAGACGATTAATGAAGAAGGACTTTTTGCGCTCATCCGGAAGTTGCCTGCAAACGGTGGCGATGGCGCCGCGGCTGAAAAGTATGCAGAGAAAATGGCAAAGGAGGAGGCACATATTCGAGAACAAGCCGCAGAGATTGATCGGCAGGAGAAGGCAGCAAAGGCTCGTCTATCAGCTCCTAACCAGAGTCCAGTCAAGTCTTCATCGTCGAAAACAGCGGTGCAAGGCAACTCGGCCTCACTTAAGAGTGCGGACAAGGGCAAATCATCAGTAGAAGGCCCTGACACCCGACTCTGGACCGTCAGATATGCTCCACAATCGCTCGGTCAAATATGTGGTAACAAGGGCGCGGTCGAGAAGCTGCAGCGATGGCTGCGAAACTTCCCGAAGAACCAGAAGACCGGCTTCAAGTTAATGGGACCTGATGGCAGCGGTCTCCATAGGGCTGTAATGATACACGGGCCACCAGGTATTGGCAAGACCACCGCCGCACATCTGGTCGCGAAGCTGGAAGGCTATGATATCGTTGAATCGAATGCATCCGACACCCGATCGAAGAAGCTTGTCGAACAGGGCTTGAAAGGCGTGCTGTCCACAACTTCGCTCATGGGCTACTTTGGGCGTGGCGCAGATGATGTTGATGCATCGAAGAAGAAACTCGTCCTCATCATGGACGAAGTGGATGGCATGAGTGCTGGTGACAGAGGAGGTGTCGGCGCTTTGGCGGCGGTTTGCAAGAAGACCATGATACCCATGATTCTCATCTGCAACGATCGCAAGCTGCCGAAGATGAAACCGTTCGACTTTGTCACGTACGACTTGCCATTTAGACGTCCGACCACTGATATGATCCGCAGTCGTATTATGACTATTGCCTACCGTGAAGGACTCAAGATGCCGCCGCCAGTTATCAACGCGCTGATCGAGGGTTCTGGTGCCGACATTCGTCAAGTTGTCAATATGATCAGCACCGCCAAGCTTGACAGCCAGAATTTGTCGTACGAAGAGAGCAAGGACATGAGCAAAGCATGGGAGAAGCATATTGTACTGAAGCCCTGGGACATGGTCGGCAAGATCCTTGGACCTACAATTTGGAACGCAGCATCTCATTCGACATTGAATGACAAGCAGGAGCTTTACTTCAACGACCACGAATTTGCGCCTCTAATGCTGCAAGAGAACTACCTGGGAACAAATGTACAGCGTGCCAAGAAATATGTGAATCCGAAGAAGCAACATCTGGCGACACTAGATTTGGTCAGCAAGGCAGCAGAATCGATTAGTGATGGAGATCTGGTTGACCGCATGATCCATGGAAGCCAGCAGCAATGGTCGCTGATGCCAACGCACGCTATGTTCAGCTTCGTACGACCAGCGAGCTTCGTCAATGGCTCAATGGCAGGACACCAGACTCGGTTCGCTTCGTGGCTTGGCAAGAACTCGAACCAGGGCAAGCTTATGCGATACGTCAAGGAGATTCAAGGCCACATGCGTCTAAGGGTTTCGGCTGATCGACACGAGATACGGCAGACATATATGCCAATACTGTACGAGAAGCTCATCAAGAAGCTGCAGGTCGAGGGCAAAGAGGCAGTGCCTGAGATCATTGAGCTTATGGACTCATACTTCTTGACGAAGGAAGACTGGGATGCTATTCTTGAGCTGGGTGTGGGCAAGGCTGACATGGAGAACATCAAGATTGAGACACAGGCTAAGGCCACTTTCACGCGGATGTGAGTTGCAATGCATCGTACTCCTGTTCGATTGACCGTACTAACACATCCTAGGTACAACCAGCAGTCGCACCCACTCCCCTTCATGAAAGCATCACAGATCGTTGCACCCAAGAAGGCTCCTTCGAAAGAGAAGCCAGACCTGGAGGACGCATTCGAAGAATCAGAAGACGAAGCTGTCGACGATGCCGAGGTCAAGGATGAAGAGGAAGAAATCGACCTTAGCAAAGACAAATATGTCAGGCAACCCAAGAAGAAGAAGGCTGCCGCAACAAAGGCGACTGGCAGCAAGAAGAAGAAGACGGCGGTTGATGACAATGATGATGAAGAGGAGGAAGAGGAGAAGCCGAAGAAGGGCAAAGGCAAGGGACGCGCAAAGAAGTAGTACTTGAGGGGTCGGCGCTTCATGGGAAATAGCATCAGGCTTGGAACGACATTGTACAAGGCATGCATGCAGGGGTGTCTAATGCTTGACAGGGATTCGGTGACGAAGCACGCGCAGCACAAGGCTGGCGTAACACGAAATAGGTATATTAACATGTACCATCACGATCGAATTAGATCCAGCCAAAATATTGTTCATATTAATCAATCTTGTATAATAGCCTATCGAGCAGTACTGGACGGCCTAGACGCCCTATCTGACCGCCGGCCAATTATTCTAACTTTATCTACCGTCCCTCTCTATGTAGACGACCTCACATTATGGTAAAACCTTTCCAACAGTAACAATCAGACGACCTCAAGAACAGCAGTGCTCCCTTCCAAGAAGCGGACCTACGACACACACATTCGCAACCTATCCGAGATGCCTGACTTCACCAACAAATTATGCATCATCACCGGCGCCGCATCAGGCATTGGCCGAGCCACAGCAACCAAAATGGCATCTCACGGATCAGTCCTTGCACTCAGCGATATTAACATGAAAGGTCTACAAGAAACGAAAGAATTATGCAAAGACTCTGAAAAGCATTCCATCGAAATCCTTGACGTCGGATCCTCTTCTGCCGTCAATGGGTACATCGAGAAGCTTGGACGGAATGTGGATTTTGTATTCAATGTGCAGGGTCAATCTAC